TTACCATTTCGGAGCAAATTATGGACTGCCCTTTTAATTCAATGAAAGACACTGGATGGAGTCCCAGATCACAGTTGACGCTGCTTTTCTGTTTGTAATTTGCATTATAATAGCGTGGCCTGTGTGTTGGCTAAGTGTTCAAATTGTCAGCGGTGAGTAACATACCTGATGTCTTTGATAAGCAGTATCACTCCAGTAATGCTATGTTTTTGCTTTGTGGCGTAGTGAAGAGAATTGCAGGTCATTTCATTACGAGTAAGGAAAACATTCTTGTGCGCACAGCCAGAATCAGTTACAGCATCATTTCCTGAGGCCAAAAGGAGCTATTGTGCCAGCTAGCGATGCTGACTTGGGATCAGCAAGTGAAGGAGAATGCTTGCCATCTGTTTTTCCTGTGACAGAACCTGGCTAGCAGTTAGTAATGTAGTTTTTTGTGTAGTAATTTTGTGTTTTGATGATACACACATTAAACAAAACAACTCAGTCTAAGAGCTCTGTGGAATATATGCCATAAATTCATAGTCCGAAAAAAGATAACTACATCTTGAACAGGCAATTAGAGCTCACAGAAACAATGAGAAGGAATGGGAGCCGTCAGGGGCGTCACAGGCAGGAGATACACAATATGTCCAAAAGTGAACAGTTGTTTAATTAGTAGATATTTTAAAGCTCACACATTGCTGCAACAGGTGTTAAAATGCATGTGCACAGTCATGTAATCTCCATAGGAGAGGAAACACTCTAGAAGAACAACACACCATATAAGTCTGAGCTCGCATGCATAATGCAGAATGCTAGGTAAGAAGGTAAATCTGACTGGACCGTGGAATTATGTTATTTGGATTGATGAAATACCACACCTTTGGGATTAAGCAGTGCACCATTCGTGAGCTAGACCTATTTGGCCAACACTCTTAACCGTTTAAGGCACTGCAAAAAAATCTATTTCTGCCATTTCATCTGTTCATTTCCATTAATAATACGATCTCTGAATGTGTTCTGCATTTATTTGATATGTAAAGAATGTGATGTAACAAAGGCAAAAAGGATTTTTATTGCTGTATCATTACTCTGATTAAACCAATCAGTGATAAGCTCTTATCAAGCTGAACTCTGCTCTAAAACAAAACATAGTGCAGCTAACAAGACTTGAAGCTTTGTGCATCTTTTAAATAGTAAAAAAATACACATAGAAAGCTCTGGTTCTACATGCTGAAACTGATAAAATGATTCTTGGCATATGGCTCTAAGAAAAAAACTGTGATAGGTCTGTTGTTTGTTGAAACATATTTTTAGTGTATTGCTTTTTTTCTGGCCCAACAGCAATATTCCAGCATCTACTGTAAGCCTTCCCAGAAGAGTAGAGGCTGTTACTGCAGCAAATGGAGGGCAAACTACCTAGTAATACCTCTGATTACAGAGGAAATGTTGGACAAGAACATCTCTCGACACACAGTGTACAGTACTGTACAAATGTCAAAGACCATCCATCATTTCATTAATTACCAGTCAAAAACGGCCATTAATACCATTTATTCACTATTTAGGAGATATTTCTGAGCTTCTCACAATCCAAGTAAAGCCAGACATTCAATGATGTTAATGTCTGGACTCTGGACTGGTCAGTCCATTGTTCTTTGTTTGATTTGCAAATTTTCTTCTTGTCTTTTTTTCTCAGTAAGGGCTTCTGCTCACCTTTTCAGACTCATAGTGTTGGGTGGTCTTTTCACAGTGGAAGAATGGACAGAAATAAGAAGCATTGAATTTCCCCTCTCTCAAAGATTTAAGTGCTGTTTATATGATGGGGACTGTTTTGGTGGTCGACCAGGTCTTGCACAACTGAGCTCCAGATTTGGAAACTCATGTTTTTTCATCGTATTGACTTTCTCTTTCCGTATGCAAGTGAATTATCTTAGATCTAATCTCCTCAGAAATATCTTGGGAAAAATTAACTTGTACTTAATGGCTGTTTTAACCAGAAATTCAATAAAGGAAGGGTGGTCTCTGTCTTTTTCACGCTTTTGTACATCCCCTCAACCTTTCCCGACAGCACAGAAATCATGGGCCTCAATCATTCTCCCTCTCAGAGAATTCTCTTGCTGTGAATTCACCTCTATCATTTCCTGTCCTTATCTTCCGTCCTGACTCTCTGACCCTAAACAACAAATAACCAAAGCCGGCCTCAGATTTCCCCCTCTCACCCGCTGATGTGGTGACAGCCTACAGGCTTTCGCCTTGAAGGAGTGAGCTTTCTTCACACCTGTCCAAAGGGATAACACGGGCGGTGGCAGGCACAACTAATCTGTTCCAACACTCAGTCACACTCAATTCCCAGCAGCATCTCCCCTCGTCCTTGAGCGTCAACTCGCCGCTGCTGGCATTCCTGGACTTACAGTAGGCCTCAACTCCCACTGCAGCAGGGTTATTAGACAATGACAGGCACCTTCTGACTGCAAACTTTTATAGCCCAGAGAAGGAGAGCCAGTCAGTTTCTGTTATCCCACACGGTAGATAGAAAGGTGGTGGAGGAGGACTGTACACAGCAGAAGAAAAAATCTGAGACCATAAGCCAAAAAGATTGCAGGGATGAACTTTTTGCTTTGCATTCCTTTTTGATGCTTACGACTAAACATGCATTTGTTGAAGAGTTGACCTAATCAACTCTTGAAAGTGAAGTACACAGTGTTTCTAGTGTCCAGACATAATGGTAACTGCAGCAAACAGCGACTGTTTTATTAAAATGTGGAAATTTAGAGAGCATTGCTAAACAAGCTAAAGTTAGCATGGTGGCAGATGTGTTGTAGTTTATATCATGCCTAGTTCTGACATCTTGGCAAAGATGTCAAGCAAAGCTTGATTCATTAAGTTGAATTTAACTGAAGTCAAATTGAATTGAACTTTCAGCCAGTGTTTTATAAAACTGCCACCAAAGTTGGTACAAAAAGCATGTTTGTGGGCGGGGCATGGATAGGTCAACTTGTAAAATGGAATCTGCCTGCAACCCCCCTTTTCCAGTTATAGATTTTTGGACTCTTGGCCTCATTCACAAACTTGAATCTTGTGACCTTAATAAATGAGGAGATTTATAAAAAGGTCACTCATTCAGCTAAATCATGTATTGCTTTATATTGGCAACTGAATTTTGCAATTAATATGAAATTCTGCCTCTTCTTCTCAAAAAAACATACAACCTTGGTGTTGCACACTCATAAAATAAAGGATGCCAGAAAGGGTTCTTGCCTTGAACCACAGAAGAGCCACTTTAGGTTTTCCAAAGATCCATTTTTCTAAAGATGGTTCTTAAAATCACCATGTAAATAACCGTGTTTCCTTCAGTGTGAGCTTCATGGCAATCTTATGTGAGAAAATAAAAAGTGAAAAAACTCAAGGTGCTGAGAAAAGACGGAGGGAAATGCAGTGCAGGGTGAGAGATGTTTTATCAGATGAGAGCATTAGCAGAGAGAGAGAGAAAGCAAGCGAGAGAGATAGAGAGACAGAATAATGAAGGGTTATGGAGCCGAGTGCTATCAGAGTTGATGGGAGTGGGATTATAATTTGGATGGCTCTCGTACATAATGGAGGCTCACTGATATGTAATCAGTTTCCCATTCAAAGCGGCAAATGGCTCCCAAAGCACTGTCTGCGAGTCGTTAATCCCTCCTTATCAAGCATTTAGAGTATGTTAAAGGGCGGTCACTGGATTCATCTGAGGGCCGGGTCATAGTCGACGCTGCTGGGATGTTTGTAATTTGCATGATAATGGCGTGGCCTGTGTGTTGGCTAAGTGTTCAAATCGCCGGCGCTGTTCTGTTTGATAAGAGGTATCGCCCCAGTAATGCTATGTTTTTGCTTTGTGGCGTAGTGAAGAGAATTGCAGGTCATTTCATTACGAGTAGGGAAAGCATTCTTGTGCGCACAGTCAGAATCAGTTACAGCATCATTTCCTGAGGCCAAAAGGAGCTATTGTGCCAGTTAGCGATGCTGACTTAGGATCAGCAATTGAAGGAGAATGCTTGCCATCTGTTTTTCCTGTGACAGACCCAGACTAGCAGTTAGCAGTGTAGTGACAGGTTTCTTATTTGTGTTCTTAAAATACAAAACAGCTCAATCGAAGAGCTTAACAGCACAAAAAAGGTACAAGCACCCATGGCCACTTTATTAGGAATCCCCTATCTACCTTGCTGATGTACAGTTAGGGATCCATTTGTTGATGCACAATTTGCAATAGCCATCCTCAAGCCCTTCATCAATGGTCAATTTCTGACCACAGAGCTGCTCTTGGCTGGATATTTTTGGGTGGGGGACCACTTTTAGCTTAGCAGTGGCATTGCTGGACTCCTTGTCACATGTGCCAGGAGACATCTCTGGATTTGGAAGCTGAGGTTACCCATGCTGTGCCTATTGCCTTTGCTATCTTTAGCCTATATCTTTTCTTGGAATTAACTGAAAAAACACAACACATAACATTGAGACTAGTCTAAGTTATAAACTATTTTGTTACCCCTATAGAGATCTGTACCTACAACAGTCTCTGCCTTCATGAGCTCCTGCTGGTGTGGGTTTCCTCCCTCTCTAAGATGCCCAAAAATGCTACTTTAAATGCTAATAAGACTTTAAATTAAATTATCTGTGCATTTCACAAAATTCAAACATTTTACATGCTGCTTCTGTTTTTTTTAAAAGTTAAGTGTTCCACTTATTGGCCTTGCTACTTTTTAGAAATATTATGGAGCTTTTATTTAAACTTTTCTAGCACCAGTGCTACCTGCTCACATACAGCCCTGTGCTAACATTTATAAAAAACACAAATAATATCTAGTCATGTGTGGGCCTGTGGTCAGAAACTGACCAAAGATGAATGGACTAGTGTGTGGCTGACTAATTGCAAATAACAGATTTGTAGTTGTACACCTTTACAGTGTGTTTCTAATAAAGTGGTCAGTGAATGGAACTATGAGGTGTTACTAAGTTAACCTGCTGCTGTTTCTCTGCCTTTCCAGCAAGCCCCACGGGTCCTGGCGTGAAGGGCTATCCCGACCCAGTGGAGGTGGTCCGAGAGTCCAGTAGTACCACAGGCATGGTGGTGGGCATAGTGGCGGCCGCGGCCCTCTGCATACTCATCCTCCTCTACGCCATGTACAAGTATCGCAACCGTGACGAAGGCTCCTACCACGTGGATGAGAGCCGCAACTACATCAGCAACTCGGCACAGTCCAACGGTACGGTGGTCAAGGAGAAACCGGTCAACACGGCCAAGAGCGCCAGCAAGGGCAAGAAAAACAAGGACAAGGAGTACTATGTTTGATCACTCCGGATTAGCTGGGTACTTGCTGGAGCAACATTTCAAGGACTTGTGTGTTTTTTTTGTGACTCTGAAAGAATAATACGAAAATCCATTCTGTGTATAATAACAAGAACTGATGAAAAAACAAGCTTTGAACAATTGTAGAAAATTTATCTAAGATATGGAATTTCACTGCAAGATGCACCTGAGGGGGCGGGCATGGGGGAAAAGGTTCTTCAACATTTTCCTCCGGAACGGATGGAGGGAACAGAAGGACGATGGTGGCGACGGACCGGTCTGGCACAGGTTCAGCTGGACAAGCCTGACGGTCCAGCCAACAACAGACTGCTCTGAGGAAAACAAAGCTGATTAAATACCCAACAGTTACCCATAACTGATAAGCAAATTATCAATACAAGCCCATCTGCACCTCTAGCGTTGGACGGATGAGATGTTGTGATTGCAGTTGCTTGATTAACAGAGAATGGAAGGGGTTGGGAAGGGTGATGTCACAAGCCGTCGGTGTTTGCCTGTGCTTGCTACCGGAACTTGTTTTTCCATGATGAAGCAAAGGCTGGAGACAGTGCACAAGCTCTAATGTTACACAAACATTGGGGATCGAAATGAAGATGGAAAAAAGGACCAACATCCAAGCCTGTGTCTAAGGAATCAACCAAATGTCTTTCTCTTTTTTTTTGCACCTTTTATAGAAGCAGCGGCTGGTGCAGACTCTCGTGAGGCCGCTTGGTTAAATCTATCAAGGGTGCAAAAGAATAGAAAGCCTGCCAGCCTGGGGATCCGAAAGCAATCTCAGAAAAGCAATCTCAAGGCCTTACTTTCTCCATCGGAGGGAAACTTGAGGCCGCAAAGCCAGGCAGTGTGAAAATTTTTTCGGAAAGTGATCACTTGGGGAACACTTGCACGCAACAGTATCTTATTACATATGTTTATACAGTACACCCACATCTAAATGTGCTCTCTGGACTGTGTGACAGTGGTGTTTTATAGCCTGTTGTATAGATGATGCAAAATTATATCTGCTCCTCAAACCATTTTTTTTCAATAATAAAATGTTAAAAAAGAGAAAAAAAGAAAACTAAATGTTATTATGTGTTGCTAGATATAGAAGATTTTATGACGACACCGGCAATGGCATTTTTCTTTTTTCAGTTGCTTTCCCTCTTAGGCTTTATACAAATGCCATACCAAATGATAGCACCTTGTTAGAGGCCTGAAGTAGTCTGACCTGTATGTGAAGGGGATTTCATGTGCGGTCCCACCGTTTCAGGCCTGCAGGAGAAATCACTGCCCACCATCTGACCTCTGACCCCTCTTTTCTCCCATGGAAATCCCACTGTAAGACTAGAAATGCTATGAACGGACAGGAGCTGTCCAAGGTCCTGAACGATTATCCGTCTGTTTTGAGGCATAAAAGGTGCAGACCACTCTAACCATTCCAGTCCCTGTGTACGTCCTGTCTTTCTGTCCGTCTCTCCGTCCGTCTCTGTCCCACCATCTTCGTTTCGGAATGAGCAAGAAGAGGGAAGTGCCGAATATGAGCTAAACTGCATTAACAGCTTTCGTTTGCGTCAGTTTATTTTCTAATTCTACCAGTGCTATTCTTTTCTACAGTATTTTCTGTTCGATTGTGATGATTCTTTATGGACCTCAAAGTACAAAATTTATTATTCAAAAAATAGTTTTGAAAAATCAAACGAGCAAATAAAATATTACCTAAGTGAAACCAAAGCTTGGTTTGGAGTTACTGAATATTTCTGGGAAAGAGTTGTGATATTGCTGTGAGTTTTAATGTGGTCTGATTTGTTTTTTCTTTGCAAAAGTTTGAATACCTCTGCTTTGTTGATGTTCTAAGAAAATATGTTAACACATTCTCCTTTTCTGCTAAGTTTGGTTTACATTTTCTATTGCAGGCAGATTCCAATTTAAAAAATAAAACACAAACTATAAAATATGTCATACCCTTTCCATATTTTTTTCTCCATACATTAAATTCAGCAAATAAACAGTGACAGCATTAAGCGTATTCTCCCTAGAGGATGTGTTCACTTATTTTCACTTAGAAAATCAACAAAGCATATCATTTAACCAGGGACACCCAAACTGTTGCATATGACACTTCGGGAATTTGCTACACGTGGGGCAATATTCAGTAATAGTTATGGTGGACATTTTGAATTGCCATCACTGCATTCTACAGAGATTTTTTGTTGTTTGTTGAGATTTGCTGTTGTTTTTTAACACAATTTTCTCCCTGATTTAGTCGAGGCTAATTCCCACCTTCTATCTAGGTCTCGCCTTATCACCTTAGGCAACCAAACTGGGAGGATGAGAGTTAGTACGTCTTTGCTACAACACACATAAAGCACCACCACATCTCTTCAAACCACTGCTCACAAAATGACGTTTGACAGCTCAACATGCTTGGAGGAAAACACTAACTGCCACTTCTGTTACATCAGCTGACAGACACCCACGTTAGCTAGCATCACACTGAGTGTCTGGAAAGAGAGAGGACCATCCCACCTATCCAGAAAGAGCTTGGGCTCCTGGCTTCAGATGGCTGTGGCATCGGTGGAGATAGAATTCGGTCTCAGAGACATTTTATATACACAGATGCATGTCTATATCACATATATATATTAAGTAAATGGCCTGAAATTATAGTAACAGAGCCTACATAAGATTGTAGTTTTGTTTAAAGGTGCAGTGTGTAAAGCTTAGTGGCATCTAGTGGTGAGGTTGTAGATTGCAACCAAGCAAATACCCCTCCCTCACAATTCCCTTTCCAAGCGTGTAGTAGAAGCTGGTGGCTGCTTTTTCTTGTGCTAAATAATAAGCATTATCCTCCATTTGTCATAATTTGGGTTCTCAAACTTCTCACACTGGTTAGCCAGCTCCAGCACCAAACACTGATTCTTCTTCTTTCTACGTCTTTCAACCAATGCTACAGCAACACCAAATTCAATCTGCCACTTCAACATAAAAATGCAAAAGACACTCTTTAGAGCCACTGTTTGATTTGTCTGTTCTGGGCTATTGTAGAAATGTGGCAGTGTAACATGGCAGCCTCTGTTGGAAGAGAATCCACTCCCTATGTAGATTCGAAGGGCTCATTCTAAGCAAACGAAAATGCAACGATTCATAGATACAGGTGATCATACTCTAATGAGAATATGGTTTTGTATACGATATGTGATTCCACAAAATGTACGAAAACAACCAACGCACTGCTGCTAAAACAACATTCAGAACGCTACGTTTATGTTTCTTTTTTTAAATATCGTATAAAGGTATCATCATAAACTTTAATAAAAAATAGGTAATAATTCTGAAATTACATTTTCATACCGGCACTAAATATTGAAAAACAAATGTCCCAAGATGTGTCTTTTCACACATAACACCCTTGCAGAGTTTGCTCTCTGCACTAACACCAGATCAATCTGTTGAAGCAAAATCGGCCAGGCCTTTCAATGTCAGTTGAATGCAGTTTAAGGCACTTTAGGCAGAGTGACAATGGTACATTTGTACAGCCAAAGCTTAGGTTAGAAATATTACAGTTTAGGAATATTAAAGGGTAATAAAATTTAAGATTTCAATGGTTTCACAATTCATATTTAGAGTCTATATGAATAGTTATATCATTGAACAGTGACGCATGGAAACCGAAAACTGAAGGAAAGAGTTCTTTTGTTTATAATTTGCCATTTTATGTATGGTTTTGAATTAGCATTATAATGCTGATGATGCTTTAAAGGAATTTTTCTCCATGTCGCTAAATAATATTAAATATTAAAAGTACTAAAAGAAAATAAAGTATTTCATCGTTTCCCAAACACTTCTAAAGCTGAATTCCAGAGCTCCTTCACCATAACAATGAAAAACACCTTGCTTCTTAATATGTAAAGCATGTAGCTTTGGAACGCCCCCTGCTGTATTAGCATACACTTTAGTGTTCGTCATTTAGAGAAGTAACAGCCAGAAACCTCAGCAGGATCTGACAAAGGCATGTGTTGACAGCAACAACTGTCAATACCAGATACTGAGTTACTCAGTATTATTTATGTAATTTCAATTAAAGCAGTTCATCTCAACCTGCTCCTGGAGGCCCACTGCCCTGCACGTTTTTTCTGCTTTAACACACTTGCTTAACTCAATAAAGGGCTGTTATTGAGCTGATTAGTTGGATCAGGTGTGCAGAGAAAACACTAAAAAGTGCAGAGCAGTGGGCCTCCATTTCCAGGGCTGAAAAACACTACATTAAGGAATTTCAGTAAATGAGTTTATGCTAAAAAGCATGTAAGCTAGACTGCACTGAACACAGCTGCAGTGAACTGTGCTTGTGCTTTTGACCATTTCCGGCTGAAAATTTTCAGTAGGGCCGGCGCACCACTACTGGGTATATTTCGGCTTTTCCATCTGAATTTACATGCCCAAATCGTAAGGCAAATTATTTAGTAACTGCATGAAATAAATGTATTTCATGCAGTTCCATGCATTTCAAGCTCCCCTCAAATTAACAGAAAATGTGTTATGATCATAAACATAATGCTATATGCTTACAATTTACCGCTGAAAGCCAAAAATGTTAGATGCTCTTTGTATTCTTTTATTAAAATAATTTTTACAGAGCAGATCACTGAAGAGACACCATCTGAGGTCCAGTTTATAGCTCAGATTTGTGGAAAAATGGGTCAAAATTTGAGTTCAGCTTCTTTTATTATAAAGTTTAAAAATTACATTACCCATCTATTTGACTGGAAAGAAGCTCTCATGTGACACCCACCTTTTGAATAAAGCTTATAAATTATGAAAGTTATGAAGTAAAGCATATGACGAAGTGCGTTTTGGAACCACCGGTGGTTTCACAGAGTTAAAAAGGTTAAGATTATGTCTATTAATCATTGCATCTGGAAGAATTTGGGCCAATCAAGATCTCTTATGTTAGCTTATCTCTATGGCCAAACAGTGCTTACTGAGTCCATGATACATTTAAGTAGTTCTAAGTTTTTGGTATTTTTACCTGATTTTCTCCCCAATTTAGTCGTCTCCAATTCCACCCGCTAGTTAGGACTCCCCCAATCACACGATTCTATCAACGCTAGGAGGGTGAAGGCTAACACAGGCTTCCTCCGAGACCTGTGAAGCCAACCACCGCTTCTTTTCGAACTGCCGCTCACGCAACGTCACTGGACAGCCGAACGCGCTCGGAGGAAAGCACCAACTGCCAGATCTGTTATGTCAGCTAACAGACGCCAGCGCTGACTAGCATCGCGCTGGGTGATGGGGGGAGAAGGAGGGGCCATCCTACCCACCTAGAGAGAGCGAGGCCAATTGTGCTCTCTCGGACTCCCGGCTACGGATGGCTGTAGCATCACCAGGGATCGAACTCGCGATCTCCTGATGATAGGGCCAACGCTTAGATGGTTGCACCACTCGGGAGCCCAGTTCTAAGGTTTTTAAGAGTGACCATTGTCAGATTCATGATCTGACAATGTCTGTCACACACAGTACACTGTCATTTTACATCCATTTTGTTTGGCATTCAAGGCCAGACTGCCCTGCATTTCACTTTGTGATGTCATAATCACCCCTATTATGATGTCATAATGGCTATCGAAGGTTTAGGAGCATGCAGTAACCTGTAACTGTAATGTGTGAATTATGGCTGTCTTTGACACGTCAATACGCCATGTCGATGGAGAGCTGCAGTGCAGATTCATTATTCAAAAGCTACGCATGAGGTGCCAGGCAACCCGACTGCAGAAATCTGACATCACTCAAACTCCTGCTAGTGCTATCCTGCCAGGTTTTCACATTTTTTCCACAGCGTATGAATTCAGTTTGCTGTCCAGTTCACTTTAACAGAATAGTTTGGCAAAATATTTCCACAGTTCCACATTTCCTCAAATGTACTCAAACAGCCAAGACATGTTTGGAGTCTGAAGTTAGGCTAATGTAGCTGACAAATCGCACACATTGCTTCAAACTGCATAGACTTGCTTATGAAGATGGCTGCTGCTACTATTTTTGGCCATGCATTGGACTTTAATTCATTTTTATGGATACAGAGTTTGTGAAACCACATAAGGAAGTCTACTTAAAATAACAACTTGACCTGGTTAGAGGCAAGTGAATAGATCTGGAGTTAGCACAATGCTAATTGGTGAAGTACAATGCTGGAGTGGGCAGTCAGGGAAGTTGGGAGAATTCCTTGTGGGCTTGTAACGTTTTGAGGCCAATTACTGTGAGAAAACATACATAAACCCATATATATAAACACAAGAATGCACAAACAAACTGTAAAGGCTGTAAACACATCTTTTTTGGTGAAATTTAGGCCCAGATTCTGTGGTAAAGTCCCAGTTTGCTAAGTGTAATTGGTCAGCTAATGAGTCTCGTAGAGTTAGCCTATTCAAATTCGGAGTCACAGTTTGCATTTTGCATTACAGTTTGTATTTCTGATTCGTATGATGGAAGGATGGACAGCAGTGGCAAAACCACAAAAAAAAAAAAAACCTGAGGAGCAAAGAAGTGCTACGATATATGCTGAATATCTCTGAGCCAGTGGGCTGGTGGGAAATGCTGACAGAAATTGAGCTAGGTAGCATTAGTTTGTAGCATATTAACTGTCATGATTGCCACATTTAACATATAAGCTTTCCTCTGTTTTTAGTTTATCACTACCCAGTCAGCTTGGTTGTCTCATTACAGAAAATAAACTAAATTAGGAAATGAAGATAAAATGTAGAAAAAGCTGTTATCTAACATAATTTAAAGTGG